CCTCCTGTTCTTCTTTTTTCAGGTATTGTTCTCCCTCATTTTACCCACCTAAAGCAGTTTGATTTGAGTGCTGCCTGAAGCCTGCCAGCTACCCCACCCCACCCCCCGCCAAGTGCGACTGAGTGGAAGATGAGCATTGCTTTTTCACTCAACACTAGCTACAGGGGGCCCTAACCAAAATGAAATAAGTAGTCATCTCTACTGCTTGACACAGGATTTCAGTCCTTTGCTTCCTGACTGGACAGACTGGCTGCAATTATAAACCAGATTTTCCAGGATTTTACCGTAACTCCTGCATCTGAGCCATTAATTTATTCCTAGACAGAGGCAGATATTGTAGCTCTGAAGGGGATATTTCCCTATCAGAGCCCAGCCTGTCAGCTAAGGACACTCAGCAAGTTTCCCCATATGTTTTACAAGGCTGCTACAAATGCTTTCTACTATATCAAACTTTACAAATAGTGCTTTCAAGTTAGTTACTTAAAATATTATTCTACACCCATGAGAACTTCAAAGTTTGATTAATGAAATATTATTTAAACCTACAGTTATATTAATTTTAAACCATTATTTTCCAATATACCCACTGAGTTAATGTTTAATATGCAACTTTATATGGCTGGGCTACCAGGCTAAGGTACAGAGGTAGCTCTCCACGTTCTAAGATAAGTGCATTAATGCATTCATTTGTCCTTACTTGTTTGCAGATTTCAGTTCTTTTTCAGGTGTTTTGGGGAATGGCTAATTTCCTTAGTTGTTTTACTCTGTTTCCAGGAGCATATGACAGAACCGAGGAACTCTAGTTTCAAGGAATTCCCAGGCCTTTTCAGCAACCCTGAAGACATCCGGCGCCCTCTTCTTCTTGCCAGCATGTTCAGCGTGTGCACTTTTTTTCAGTTAATCATTAAACTCCTGTAGTCCCAAATTCACTAGTTTTATTGGTCCTTCTCCTTTTGTGGAGGGGAAAAAAAAGTCCCTTGAACTAATTGGAGGCTATGCACTGATATAGGGATGTGAGGGATTACCCAGATTTTTGTTTTATTTATTCATCAGACACCAAGTAGCAATGACAAATGGAATAAGATGAACCAATAGCCTGACCAGATCCTTTCCCTGCCCAGTGCTTCACCCCTAGAGATACAGGGCAACATTTTCAAGCATCTGTGTGATTTAGGAGCCTAAGTCCTATTTTCAAAGCTGACTTGGTGTAACACTGTGGTTTGTCCATTTAAGGGTCAGAGTTCTGGGCGTAGCCAACCTGTCTATTAATCAGGTGCAGCTAAAGAGGGACCAGGGAAGAGCTGGGCTGTCAGTAAGGAAGGAAGAGCAGGAGCAGTAGGGAGGGGACTAGGGTGACCAGATGTCCTGATTTTATAGGGACAGTACCGATATTTGGGGCTGTGTCTTATATAGGTGCCTATTACCCCCTCTCCCATCCCGATTTTTCACAGTTGCTGACTGGTCACCCTAGAGGGGAAGCAGTGGGAAGCTCCTGGGGAAAAGGAGATCCTGGAAGAAAGCACTTTGCTAAAAGAGCAAGGAAAATTCTTGCAGTAGGTCCTGAAGCAGGAAGGACAGAGGAGAAAGGTAAGATCTCCAGGACGCTGTAGCTCCAGGACTGGTGAACTGAGTTTGTGGGGTGCTTTGCCTATGCCTAGAAACTAAAACTGTGCCTTGAAAGAGACCCTGGATGTGGTGGGAGCCAGGAGGTCTTGCACATGCTGGGGACAGGCTAGCACCTTACATTTGGGCACATTGGATAGGTCAACACTGCAATTAAAAACCCGTGGCTAGCCCATCCCCCAGCTAAGTCAGACTCACATAGCTTGGGCTAAGGGGTAGTTTAATTGAGGTGTAGACATTTGGGCTTGGGCTGGAGGCCAGGGTTTAGGACACTGCAATGTGGAAGGATCCCAGAGCTCAGGCTGCAGCCAAAGCCGAAATCATAAAATCATAAAACTGGAAGGGACCTCGAGAGGTCAATGTCTACAGCACAATTAAACATCCTTTTAGCCCAAGCCATAGGCACTGACTTCTACTGGCACCGGTGGGTGCTCGCCTCCCCTCTGCATCTAGCCCTGCCCTGACTCCACCCCTGTCCTGCCCCCATTCCAACCTCTTCCCCAAAGTCCCTGTCTCAACTCCGCCCCCTCCCTGTCCCTATTCCTATTCCTTCCCCAAATCCCCGCCCCACCTCCTCCCGAGCGCGCCGCATTCCTGCTCCTCCCTCCTCCCTTCTGGAGCTTGCTATAGCTGTTTGGTGGTGGCAAACAGTGGGAGGTAGGTGGAGAAGTGGGGATGCTGCGTGCTTAGGGGAGGAAGCGGAGGAGGAGGTGAGGTGGGGCAGGGCGTGTAGCTTGGCTACCTGAGGGTGCAGAGCACCCACTAATTTTTCCCCGTGGGTGCTCCAGCCCCGGAGCACCCACGGAGTCGGTGCCTATGGCCCGAGCCCCATTAGCCTGAATCAGATGGCATGAGCCAACCGTGGATGTCTTGCAGAATAGATATACCCCTAGACACCTATGAGCCATTGGCTTTCAGTGCAACCTTTGTGACTTCTGCACTTTTGAAAATTTTAACCATAATCTATTCCACCTTTTGTTTCATTTCTCTCTGGCCCCCAAGATTAAATAGCATAAATTGGTCTAGACTCTTAATCTCTCTAACTCATTCTGAAATGAATTACCACTCTTTAGATATTTTGCTACATTCATTCATATTTTAAAACCAGCGATAAGAGGGATGTATGTGTAACAATGTGTCCCGGTTAAGTTCTTACACAGTAAGCAATCTTTAATATTGCCTTCACAGAATAAAGCTAAATGGGCATTAAATGAATATGAAAGCAGGCAGAAGTTCAGGATTCCTTTGGGTAAAGTATATTTCTTTTCTCCTAACCTACAAACACTTCCAGGACAGCAGGAAAAACAAATACCTACAACAAGATTGTGAAGCTGGATTTCCAGAGCGATGCCAAAATTCTCCTCATAAGTAGAGCTGACTAAGTTCTTGGTATTCTGAAATTTATAGACAGGTGTGGAAAGAAACTGCCTGGTTAAAAACAAACAATTCTATCATCTTCTCCATAATTTGAGCTGTGTTAATGAAGAGACAAAAATATTCAATAGACAAATGATTTGGGGCTATGAATTTCCACCCCATGAAATGATAATTTGTCACAGCAGGGCTCAAATCTACCTCCTGTCCTCACAAGTTAAGTTAAGAGGCTGAAATTTCTATTAGTTTCTCCTAATTCTGCCTGCCGTGCTGTTGGGCTTTGATACACCAGCAGACTGTGCTATCTTAAGGTAGGACTACCAAAGCTGTCTAAGTGCTTGCTCATCTAGGGTTATTTCCCAGATAGGATTCTGCAGCTTGTAGATGGTCATGCTTTGCTAGAATGCTCCTCAAACATCACGATTCAAAGACACACTCAAGCAGCACTAAATATAGACTCCCCCAAATCCTTAACAGAGATAGGCCAGTGCCAGAAAATTCAGTTCCCAATCACTTCCAGGCTGTCAGAATCTAGAAGTTTTAAGTCCATCTCTAATGCCTAATAAAATATTTTGTAGTAAAAAGAGCTACATTATTAGGAACACTGATTACTGCATAACGAGGGAAAATTTGCCTGTGCAGTCGATAGAGGCACTTCAGAAAATCATTGCTGTTACCTCCCCCACCCCGCCCACACACACCTGTTATTTAAAACCACAAACATTTAAGAGGGAGGCAGGGCATGGCTTAGTGGATAGGACACTGGATTGGAACTCAAGAGAACTAGGATGTATTACTCGCTCTGCTATTGCCTTTGGGCAAATTACTGTGCCTCGGTTATCCCATCTGCAAAGCAGGGATAATGATACTTACCTCCTTTGTGAAAAACGTGGAGCTCCAGGGATAAAAAGTTTTCCATGCGAGCTAATAAAGAACCATTAGGAAATACCGTAGAGTCTATCAATCTACGAACCACCATGATAGCTGTGATTTTATGGTACAATGCAGATGACAAAAGCCCCAGGATGAGGCATATGTGAGCAAGGTATAAAGCATTGTCAGGGGAATCTGGCTACGGAACAAGCTTCCAGAGGGGATCAGGCAAATCTAGTCTTAGCGTCGTTAGGAAATGTTGCAAAGCCTTTCTGTTTGAAAAACCCTTTCTGCTATAGGAATGGCATTACATTGATGCCTCCTCTTACCCCAAACTCCTACCAATTTAAAAAAAAATGAAATGAATTAAAATCAAAAGACCCTCCTCCCCATTCCAAGCAGTTTTTACCCACCAAAAGGGAGTGTATGGGGAGATTTTGGCAAACCAGTAAAGTGCCTGAAACCACTAGTGCTTATTGCTAACAATAGCCAAGTTAGCAGGCTGTATGGAATCACTGTTGCTTATTGCCAGAAGTAGCCAAGTCAGCAGGCCGTGAATTGGCCATGCAGCAGCCTTAGCTTAACTAAAGCAGAAGGGGAGGGTGTTTTGGGTGCCACAGAAAGGGTAGCTTGATCCTGCGTCCTTCTTGCTAAGAATGTTGAAATTGCTGATACATGTATTTTAGAAAAACAGGAAGCTTGTCTATATGTGCCCTCGGGAATGTGTCTGCCAGGGTCCCAAGGCATGGACACTCTGGAAAAAAACATATCTGGTTAATTGATGATCATAAGGAAACCTCTTGCTTGACCTTTAAAAACTGCTTGCTTAGCAAGTTTTCTTTAAGTGATATGTCATTGCATTACTAATGTATAAATAAGGGGAAAAAGTTGGACTCTTCGTGAAGGCTTCTTCAGGGACGCTCTCTCTGGACGCATCTTGGGGTCCCCACTGGCAGACAGAAGTTTGGCCAATGGAAGCCTGTCGCTGTGCCACACTCAGCTTCAGTAATTATTGAGGATGATGGGGGTGTTTTACTAACCTGTTCCGGACGTCTGTAAGTGCTTGAGACTAAGTAAAGTTTAGCTTTGAGTGAAAGCACTCGTGTTGCCCTGTTTGTGCCAGACATCTATCGGTTGGACGGCCGTGTCTCCCTTGATTTATTTCCTGACACCACCTCGCACAGAGTAAAAGTTACCAAGAGCTTTGAGTTGAAAGAACCCCGGGTAACAGGAGAAGTGCAGAGACCCCCTGGAAGTCTACTGGGAACTTCACTATAGAGTTTATGTGAAAGGTGCTTAGATATTGTGGTGATGGGAAACAGAAAGGACAAAGACAGACAGAATCTTAGTAACTCGTGGACAAGATTTGTGCTTTCATTCTCCCTGTCCACCTTCCTCTCTACTCCTCGTCTCCCCTTCCCCCCAAAATAACAGCAGTGGAGGAGCAGGCAATTGGGGTTATGACTTCTCCCATTTCTTGTGAGTTCTTGCCTCTGCCTTTGGTTTCAGTACCAGAAACAAATGAAAGTGGTGCAAATACACATTTCCATGACCTGTGCGCTGAAGGAGGGCAGGCAGCACTTGCTTGCAGAAAAGTAAGTTCACTTGTATTTGTTTAAACTAACATTTCACAGGAGACAGTGGTTATTTTTTGTATAGCACAGCCACACTCCAAACCAGAGACTTGGTCTTGTTCAAATTCTTCTGAAAAATAAACATGCACAGAGCCAAATTCTGGTCCCACTGAAGTCCTTGTCAAAGCTCTCATTGGATTTGGCCTATACACAGAGACTAACAGCTATTGCATCTCATTGCTGGAGAAAAGTGTAGATCTCTAGATCCATATAATTGTAGTACCGTATTCAACATTAAACACTTCACCTTGCTTAGTGTGCAGCACTATGAGCGCCCTCTGTTGGTCAAACTGTAGAACAGTTTTTGCTGCAGAACAAGTAGTAACACAGCATCTGAAATCC